TATTTTTGAATTTATATTTAAAATAAATATACTTAATTTCAAGTAAACAAATATTAAAATAAAATAAATTATTTATTTTTCAAATTATTTATATTCAAAATTAACAAAAATAAATTGTATTATATTTTGAACTTAATAAAATAAAATATATTTTAAAAAGTGTTTAATTTTTAAATGAGACACGCTCAAAATAACAAATATAAATGTATGATATTTATTTTAAATTTGGTCAATTAAAATAATATAAATATGTAATTTTTATTTCACTATAGTGAATTTAAAAAAGTCTATAGAATGTATTTTATTTTCAAGGTAATCAAATTAAAATAATAAAAATTGTAAAAAATAAAATAATTTTGTCAATACAATAAAATAAAAATAAACTATTTTGAAATTTTAATTTAAAATTTATTAGAATATAACTCTAATTTTAACTTTAATTAAAACGAAACAGCAGCATAAATCTAAGCTAAAAAAAACTCTACAACTTGAGCACTATCTCAAGGATTGTTGTCTAAGCTAAAAAAAACTCTACAACTTGAGCACTATCTCAAGGATTGTTGTCCGAAAACTTCTAGGTTTGTTGTCTCTTTTCCTTTCTCTATTAAGAAAACATGCCTCAAGATTTGGAACACCATCATTTTGATTTAACAAAATTACATTATTTACACGTGTTTATTAAATTAGAATATACATGGGAATTACCAAAAATAAAAACAAAAACATTGCATTCAATAAGTTAATTTCAAGGCTAGAAGCAATATAAATGAATCCAATTCATATAATCAATTACTTTTATTCCTTTGCTAGAGATTTGAAATATGGATGCTCATCGTTTGACTTTTAAAGTAGTTTACTCCTTCTCAAACAAGCTTCTTAATTTTCCACCCGGCACAGAACCGACTTAAGCTATAAGGGAGTGAGGCGACCACCTAAGACCCATATTTTAGGAAATATTGGTATCTATTTACTTTAGTTTTTAATTAGAAATTAAATTTAAAATATAAAATAACTTACTTATTACTTTTCATAATTATTTTTATAATATTGAAATACACACCTACTAAAAAAAATCCACAATTAATAGGCTCATGAATTTCTCTCCATTTTGATTATTTATTCGGGACTTCTTCCAAATTTCCTTAAAATTCTCAACCCATTAATATAAGCTCCTCCTAATTCTCTCGAGTTTACTTTAGGAGAGTGGGAACCTTCCATATTTTATCTTTTTATTTATTTCTTTCACAACCAGAACTTTTCAACTTCTCTAAAAACCTTCATACATGTACTACTTAAGTCGCACTAATTTTAGGTTGAACTCTAGCCTCTATCCGTCAATACTCTCCCTTCTCTCACTCTCAATCTCTCTCAAATCTCAAATTTTCATCGTGATCTTCTGTGTGGTCTCACAAGATTATCAATGGTTAGAGTAGAAATAGAAGCTTCTTATTTCCTCAACTTAACCCAGCAGCTTCAAAGTTCCAGGTTTTTCGTTCAAATTCTTTTATTTTTTATTTTTATAAATTATTTCATATTGTTGATTGCTCACAACCTAATATCTAATATTTGTTTAAATTTGCTTACTTAGAATATCAATAATTCTAAAAGGAAATATGAATCTGGATATGAAAAGCTTAAAAGAAAAGAATAGTAGAAAAACTTATTGAATCTCAAAAAACTGTTGTCGATAAATTTGTTATTGAAAGTAAAAGTAATAAAAACGATGAAATAATAGAAGAAATGATAGGTATAGAAAAATCAAGAGATCAAAGAAAATAGTAGATGATGATATAGTTGTTGAAAATGAAGCTATCTAATCCTGCAAAAAAAAAAAAATAGAGAGGAAATACAGAGAAAATGGATTCACAACTGCTATGATTTCAGTTAAAATTGCAAATGTTATGGAAATAAAACCAATATTTTGTGAAAAAAGAACGATTCAAAAAATATAAACAACAATTTGATGAGAATGCTGATATTAAAGAAACATGATCACCGCAAGATTCTTTTAGAATTTATTACTTTTACTATATTATAGATCAAACAATTTCTTCACTTTAAAATAGATTTGAACAATTTCACATATATGAAAATATCTTTAACTTCTTATTTGATATGAAATTTTTAAAGTCATTAGATGATGATAATCTGAAAAGAAATTGTATTAATCTTGAAAATACATTAAAAGATGATAGTGGTTTAGATTTATTTTTTGAATTAAAAATATTAAGAGAAGTCTTGCAAAATGAAATTGATTGTCCTATTAAAATATTAAATTATATAACAAAGGTAAACTTTTTTCCAAATGCATACATTGCTTATAGAATATTATTAACAATACTGGTAACAGTTTTGCTTCCACTGAAATGAAGCTTTTCAAAATTAAAATTAATCATATTTAAGTTCAACTATGTCACAGGAAAATTAAATGGATTGGTCATATTGTTCATTGAAAAGTAATATATTAACAAACTTATAATTTTGAATCTCAAAAAGTAAGAAAAATAAGTTTTAGATGATATTTTCTATATTAAGACCTCTCCATCAAAGTTTTATCTAAGATCCCCTATCATCTCGAGCCGCCCCTGCACCTGCGTGGAATATTATTTGTAATAGATTAAACTTACCTGCCTCTATCTCACAACATCCCATGTACTATTATGGAGTTGCTCATACTTTAATACAATACGTATTTTAAACTTGAGAAAAAAAATTGATGGAGGAAGAAAACACAAAATAAATATGGAGAAGACCAAAATTTTTTTAGAAAGAAAAGTAGAAGAGTGAGGATTTAGGTTTTAGGTAGCTATTAAATTTCTAAAACCTCTGAAATTTTATTATTATTGTTTGGGAATGTTAAGAGGTTTAAAACCATTATTACTCCATCACTCAAAATAAACATATTTGTAACAAAGATTAACTATTTAATGTAGTAATATTTTATGCTATCATCTTTTTTTTATATATATATTTACATTGTTAAAAAGACCCAGATTAATATTGTCTAAAACAAATTTCTTCAAAAATCAAATTTAGCTTTTGAATTGTAAATATGATGAATGATAGTCGCTAATGAATTATGTATATATATTTACCTCTCGCCAATGTACAAACTAGCTACTAAAGGACAGTGTTATAAAAAAAATTGGAATGTGATCTATTATACTAATTAATAAAAACCTTTAAAAAGATGGTGAGAGAGAAAAATAAAGAAGAACAAGAAATACATAATATTTTTCTGAAATTTTGGAACATGATCTTGATTAATAAATCTTTAAAACAAAAAGATCGTGAGACAGAAAAAAGAAACAAATAAGAAGAAGAAAAAAATAAACCTTAAATTGTGGTTGGAAATGAGTAAAAAGAGTTCTTTTATAGTTCCAATGAAGAAAGAATTTATATTTGAATCACAAAATTACCTTCCATTCATGTAAGTGGAGGTGGAGTGATTCAAACTTGTGACCTCTTGGTTGGAGATATATGTCAATTATCACGGAGCTATGTATGCTTTGGTAAAATAAGTTGATTCATTGAAATTGATGGCTTATCCTTTTTTTTTCCTTTTAAAAATAAATGGCTAAATCATTTAATTAAACATAAGAATGATTTTGCAATTATTATTATTTTGTTTATTCCAATCAATGAAGATGTAACCCAAGGAAATACTTGAATGGACCAATCAAATAGAGGATGATAAATGGATTGTCTCTAGAATCCACTTATCGGTTAACAATAATATTACAGTGCAATAAGTGAGGTGAAAGATTCGAACTCAGTATTAATTACCGTTGGAGTAAGTTCATATTGGCGGATAACCACTTATATATATCATAGAGTAAAATATTTATATATATTATTTATAGTAAAATATTTACAAATATGTTAGGTAAATATGCACAATCCAAACCTCTAGGATCCTTTTTGGACGTGCTTACTGTTAGGAGTATTTGACTTTTGTCGTACATTGAAAGATTTAAGAATGCTACAGGATTTATATTTCTCTCTCTTAGTTGTCAACCCTTTAATGGTGACGAAGCGAGTATTTTCCGATAAGGATGGTTGATTTCGGGTAACCATATACTTGCTCGTAAAAAGAAATACTCTTCATTTTTTTATTGATGTTTGGACGAAAAAGGAAAATCATTATCTTTTATTACTGAAATTAATTTCTTGAATTTTAAAAGTTTTCCAAAATTAATTTCATTAAAAAAAAAACGTTTTCCATCTTCACGTTATTGGTCGTCTTCAAGCCCTGATCTAAGCAAGGTTTCCACAACACTAATCGATTCTAATCATTCTTTAACGAGCATACGTTTGAGAAGGGTATTGTGCTAACATTTAGAAGCAACCAATGAGTAGACGATTTAGCACCAAATATAGGCCGAAATTGCTTTCAAAGCAGTCGATTTTTCCACGGCACAACGGTTCTCTCCTACCACTTGCAGCCGAGGCTTTAGCTCTTCTTCATGGAGTGCAACAAACTATGGTTGTACACTTTGGTTCGTTTACTGGGAAAGGAAGACCTGTGATTTTCTCCCTTTTGGAGTACTGTTAGAAGAGATTAAAAATTGGATTAATTATATCCCCATATTCTTTTAATGAGACTGCACATATTCATGCAGAATTATTCCCCTTTATTATTATTTTTAATTTGCAATTAAATAAGATTGAGATTCGATAGTTTCAACTTTGGTATAGTTTATTCTTATAGTCCCTATGGAATGAAAGGAACAACACCACATTAAAAAACAAATCTCTATCTTTCGATATATTTCCATCGACACACCAACCCGACCCTTAAAGTTCCGATTAATTTATTCAAATCCAAACCAATCCAAACAAGCTTATAACCCAACCCAACTTTCACGGTTTGAGTTACTATTGTTGAACAACTATTGTTGTGCCATTTGTTCAGAAGCCAAAACTTTTTTCTTGTCTTGAGTTCATATTTGAATCTAGAGAGATCACAGAGAAATCTACTCAAAATCAGATATCAGAGCTGCCCTCAAACTTTTCTACATTACACAACAGCCTTCCATTTTCAAACATTATCAAGTGATGATTCATAAACTTGGTTCAGAAATAGGATCAACAAAGAGATCATCAAGTTATTATCATACATTCCCACACCTCTTGGTGTCTTGTACACAGTTGTTACATCCATATAAAGAAGAGATAAAAGAAGTAACTAAATCCTTCTGAATCCCGACATGCTTAAAGCTTATCATAAATCAATACCGATCTAGTGAGTGAACTCACTTTGATTGAAGATATCTCAATATTTTGGAGAATCAATTCTCAGGCTGAGACGAGGAGCATATGATTGAGTTATTACCCGTCTTAGTTGTCTTTCTCTGTTTCTCGATGCTAATCGAGTGGCATACGAGCAACCAACGAGACTTGGAAGCAAAACTTGCTCACCAGAGGGGTTGGATTATCAGCTGTCAGGATGCCTTACAATTTTCTGCAGAATAACTGTTCTTGCCATTGTTACATCTCTGCTGCATTTACCAGCATGTACACTCAACTTCTCAATGGTTTCATCAAAACCTTCAAGGTTTTTCTTTATTTCATCTATTACAAGCTGCATAGCTCCCTGTTCTCTAATGCCGAGATTGGCATTCTGCAACAACGAACCGAACTGAATCGACAATTTCCGAACAAGCACTCGAATGTTCTCAAAGTCCTTCAGAATTATGTAAGTGTGACCTTGCATTGAGCTGATAAGTTGCTTCTCCTCTTTAATTTTTTTCAAATAGCGATTCCACATTGAGTTACACCATTTCCCGACCGGGCCCATTGGAACCGCCAGGGCAGCAGCTAACGCGATGACCACGGGAGGTGCAGACATCGCAGCTGCTACGACGGAGAAAATCAGAACCGATGCAAACGCGGTAACAAAAATGACATTCGACACTTTCTTCCACGTCTTCGTGGTGTTATACTTTTTGTCAAGCCTCCTCTTTTCAGTTTGCAACTTCTTAAACATTGACAAATGCTGCTTATATAAGGACTGAAACAGCTGAACAAACTCCAGAGTAAATGGATCCCCTGCCTCCTGAAACTTCTTCAACTCTTCAAATGTCCTAACATATCTCTCATCACCTCCATTTTCAACTTCCTCCAATTGCTTAACAGCAAGCTTAATGATGAACTGGCTGTCCCGAGTTCGCCGTAGACAGTTCTCCAACCCCGTGCAGAAGTCTAAAGTTTTGAGACTGTTATCAAAGAACTCATTCACAAGCTTAAACATCTCCTTGTTGCTCCACACATCCTCCTTACTTTCAAGGATGATCTTGACCACATCTTGATTCATTTCCAGCAGACAGTCAGTGACCTCCATGAGGGCATCGAACGACAGCGACCGAGCCTCAACTCCCGTGGCTAGAGAATTTAGGACTCGGGTCGTCCGCTCATGGACCGCCACATCAAAGGATTGCAAATCCGGATCATTTTCACAAGCAGCTTCATATGAACTAAGGTCAGCAGCATACTGAGAATCAACATTTATGGGAAGAGGAGAAGAAAAATCTCCACCACTTGATCTGTTCTTGCTAGATTGTCCTCCCATCATTGCCAGACAGTAATGATCTCACTAAACACAAAACTCAAAAAATCCCCAAAATGGGTTTTCAACAAAAATGGTGAGAATTCCTTTTTTCACCCACTCTCTCCGTTTCCTATCCCCCCACTGTTTGCTAAAGCAAGAACAACCCCAGAAACTCAAAAAAACAGAACAACTAAGCGAGATTCTTCAAAAATTCCAGAAACCCATCAGAGATTTTGGGTCAAACACAAAAATCCCCAAAATTTTCAGCTCAAAATTGAAAGAACAGGCGCCATTAATTGAAAAGCAACAAGATACCTCGATTTGGGGAAGAATCGGAGAGATCCAACAAAACCCAGATGAGGAAGCAGAGATGAAATCCAATGAGACCCGGAAAAGGGAATGATGTGGAGGATCGGAAGCAAGCTGCGGAGTAAAATTACAAAAAGTTTGTGAAGAAAGAGAGGTCTGAGCAGAAGGAGGGGATCTCCGCGAGGAACATGGAGAAAGGGGAAATGAGAAAACCTAGTGAAAATGGAGCGAATGGTCGAAAGTCAGTCAATGCAGAACAATTATCATACTGTAGTAGTCTTCCAACTACGCGCAGTTGAATTTTCTTTTTCTCGATTTTGTTTTTTGCTTTTGGTGTTTTTCAGGCACCATCGTATGAATATCGAAGGCTTTTCCACGAAGTTTCCTTTGACTTTAACTCACTCTAACGAAGCGTCGAGACGCTTTTGTCTCTGATCAAGGAGTCATGAGTTAACATAATAAATTTGATAAAATGTTGAGAAATATTAGATAATTAAGAGAGAAATATAAAAATGTAGATTTTTTTTTTATAAAAATAATTAGTTCTCAAATATTTAATAGGGGTAAGAACAAGATTTCATTAGCACTATTAAACATTAAGTATTTTCCATAAATTTTTAACTTAATTACCGATAAAAAGAAACCACCATAAAACTTTTGCGATTTGTTCCAAAAATACCACACTATCCTTTCAAAAGTTTCAATACCATCCTCCACTTTTCACAAATGCTTCAAAAATATATTTTGAACGAATATTGATATGGGAAAATTTAAAAAGACGTGGCGTGACAATTAACGTGGAAGCTCATCTCGATTAAGTAGAGAGAAGGACAAAATTGGGTGGATTATAGAGAAGTAAGTTCTCTCAACAATGGAAGAAGAAGACTTTTATCGCAAAATTGGGACCTATATGTCACATCCATATGTTAATTTCCATATTATTCTAAATTCTGCCACGTCAACTTTTCATTCAAAATGATAGAGGTATTTGTTAAACAAATGATAAAGTTTGAGGATTTCTTTTTCTTTTTGTAATTTAGCCTAAAACTTTTGTCTAAAATATATCAAAAGATCCCCAACGTTCGAGGTAATTCTTTGATACTTAATCTTTCAAAATTCTCAATTTTACGCCTATATTACAAATTCTCGAGTAGGTCCTTAGTAAAGAAAATATTAAAACTTACTAATTAAAAATTTATATATGTATTATTAAATTATTATTATAATTACATATTTAGATACATAGATATGACACTTCGATCTCGCCTCGAAAGAAATAGGTTTTATAGATTGATGAGTTATGTTTTTTCAAATGAGTGAGTTGGATTTTATATATGTGATATGGTATTTGAGTAGCATGTTCATTGCTATATGGATAATTAAGAAAATAGCCCTCCATGTGGACATGAACCAAACATGACGTGGCACTCGACTAAACCAATTGGCCAAGTGAAGACTGATTTGGCCAAACCCACACCACTGAACTGACCCATGGGCATCGACCAAGGTGAAGGGGCCCCTGAGGTCAACCCGAACTATGAGCCTCACGCCTCAACAAGGTTACCTTGCCTGAATGTGGAACCAAACTAGAACCACTGCGCTTTACGTCATGGTCGATGGTGCGACAATCGTCAAGGGTTCTGTACGAATGGACTAGGGCATCAAAGTTTTGCATTCTCCTTTTCCCTCTCCCTTTCTTTTCCCTGATATGAACCTTGAGTCATCAAAGCCTTTCTAACTCGACCTGGTCGGGTCAACGTTCTCTATAAATAACAGAACCTACCTCATATTTAGGTGCGTGATATTATTCATGTTTAGCTGGACACAGTTCAATTTAATACAAGCTTAAAGGATGTGAAGTAAGCACTACTAAATCGATGCGCAGGTTTACATAGCTCATTTGCCTCCACCTCATATAGGATTCCAAGCCAAAATTTAGTATCAAACAAACATTAAATTTTTTTTTTCTTTTTTTTTCTCACGAACTTGTGAATTTTTGCAGAGTGAGTCAATTTTGTACGTTGATTAAACCTAATTTGATGTAAAGCTTGCTTCAATTGAAATTGGTGATTAGTTTTTTGGAAATGTTACTTTTTTTTTTTAATTATTGGGTGAATTAGCCAAAAGTTGAACAAAGGATAAAAATAACAACACTATCTAAGTGTAGCATCCAATTTTATAAAATTGAAAGTTTAAAAAGAAAAATCAATAGACCTTTGTCAAGTTTAAGAGTAAAAATAGGAAAAAAATTTGTTCTTACCTACGAGCGGCTTTGCTTTTAGTTCTACCAAAAAGATCTCATACCAATAGAGATAATTGTCCTTCCTTATATACCATGGATCACTCGATCTCCTAATGTGGGATTTTGTTTGCCATCCTTACAAATCCAACACATCTACCATAAAAGAAAAAATGAGAAATTTTTCAACAATTAAGAGAGTTCGAGAAAGTGCTAGAGATAACCCATAGAAATAGATACAAATGTTGGACCAAAGAAAATCTTTTCAAAAAACTTAGAAAAAAAATATCCCCAAATGTGATTTTCAATAATAATAGGATAAATGATAAACTAATGATGGAGAAAGGAAAATTTTCAAGGAGGAAAAGTGAAAGACCACTTAGAAATCTTGGGAGACAAGCAAATGTTTTCTAGGGTTTGAGATAGCCTAGTTTGCTCTTCCAAATTAAACCTTGAATAACTCCATGTGTCTCTTTGTGTGGAAAGTCAACAAGTTAATTGAAAAAGAAAGAAAAAAAAACCTAACTAGGATTAAAGATAACTTAAAAAGGGTTTAGTTAAAAAAAAAGAGAGAGATCTTTAAGACCTGTTTGGTAACGCTCATATTTTTCGTTTCTTATTTTCATTTCTTACTTCCCCTTTTCAATTAAGAAAAAGAAAAATTGCATTCGACAACTACTTTTTGTTATTTGTTATTTCCTTTTTATTGAAAAAAGAAATAGAAACATGTTCGGTAACTTTTTTTTATTTTTTTATTCGCTTAAATTTTAAATTGATATGAAAATTAATTTTAAACATGCAAAACTTTTAAGTTGCATTTGCTTTTTATATTCATCTTACTTTTATCTCTATCGGAAGAAATTAGAAATGTAAAAAAAAAAAATTGATTTTGTTGTTTCCAAAAGTACACAGGATTCTGGAAACATTTTCTTAAAAAATGAGAAACGAGAAACAAGAACAATTACCAAACGCATATAATTTTTAAAAATTGAAAATCAAAAACAAGAAACGGGAACGTTTCTAAATAAGCTCTTATATTTCTCATTTTATTATTATTATCATATTCTTGTTTCTAATTTTTTAAAAGCTTAAAGTGCTTGGTAATTTTTCATTATTTCTCGTTTTTCATTTTAAAGACACATCCCTTAACTTGTATTCAAATTTTGAAACAAAACATTTTAATCTTTTCATAAAAATATAGTCTATCACACATATTTTTGTTTCTTTCCAAAAAAATGAAAAATAAGAAAGAAGAAGCGAGAACAATATTAAGGGCATCTTACCGTTATTAAGGGCATCTTACTATTCCTCATTGGCTCAATTCGATCAAATATTAGAAGATAAAATCTTGGGATTTTACATTCTTAATTACCTTATAAGATTATTAAAAAAAAAAAAAAACCTTATACGAAAATTTCATTCATTTTATTTAAAAGCTAGATAAAAATTGATTCACTATAGTTACTTCAACGGTTGGGTGAGTGCAAATTTTAGCACAATTTATCCAATATATTACAATAATAGAACCTACAAATTTTGTAAATATAGAAAAACTATAACATAAACATATCACTAATTTCATTTAATTGGTGATTATATTTAGTCAAGGCAATTTCAATGACGTACAATTAATGAAGATATATCAATTATTTTCTTTTTCTAAAATATCAATTATTAAAATTAATCATTATGTAGGTGCCTCATTGATTGTTATATTAGACATATTAAGGCTTGTTTGGTATACAATCCGATTTATTGTTTTAAGATTTGATTAGTGAATACCTTTCGGGCATATTTGTTTTTCAAAACAGTTTTTAAATTTTGTAATCATAGAAACTCTTAAAATAACATTTTGAGTGTATTTGAATTTTAAATTTCAAATTTTAAAATGCATAATTACATTTTAAAAGGTAAAAATTTTGATAAATATGATTTTCAATAAAATTAAAATATGTAAAATATAATACATTATAAATTATATAATATTGTAAATAATAATGGTACAAAACTTATAACATATATTTTAATAAATTAATTAATAATATTTTAGATTGAACTAAATTTTTAGTCGGTAACTGCTATTAATTTATAAAGATGTTACTAAACACATCATTCAATTTCCAAATCTGCTACCAAACACATGTTCGAAAAAACTAAAGACATATCCCTTGTTTTCAAACTAGTGACCAAATACCCTTTGGTTATTTATACACCGTTTTCTTTTTGAAATCTTAGAGACCAAAGATATCTAACTCAAAACTCTGGATCAAAAATATATTTTGCCATACTTCTTTTACCTCCACAATTGCGGCGAAAAAGCAAAACAGTAACCTCCTGAATGATAATAAGTGTCTTGTATACCGAGCTATGTTTAGATTGTTAATTTATATGCACATGTTTGATTTTTACTCTTATTAGATAATAATTAAATTAGTAGAACATAATATAAGACAGGGTCATTTTATAAAAATGAACTCAAATTTGAATTTATTTTTAATTGAGCTTAAAAACTATATAATAGTTTAAATAAATTAAATTGATGAATTCTGATCCAAACTTAACTAGGTTGTTGGGTTAACTTAACTCAATTAGAGGGGAAAAAACACAATATAATAATATAAAATTACAAAGTTTTCAAACATTGTGGGACATTAGATACGGAGGTTGATCATGGCGTGCGTAATAATTCTTGGTTTTTTTCTTTTTAATAATAATAATAATACTTCTTCCCATTTATTTTCAAAATTTGCTACTAAGGCTTGGTTTGAGATGGGTGCGGCTTTTAAAATAACTAGTATTTTAGCACGTGCTTCACTGATTATATTTTAAGTTTTTCAATCCAACCAAATTATATGAAATTCAAAAATATATTCAGCGAGTAGCGTATACGAAATATTGGGGTATTTCATAAATATGCTTACCGAGGTGTATACAAAATGTTGGGGCTTTTTTTTAATAACTACTATATATATGAAGTAAAGTTGAAGAAAAAATGTAAGCTAGACAATCAATCTCCAAATTGTCGACTTCTTTTGACTTCGCAAAATTTAAATAAAATTTATGTACAAAAACAA